CGTACCGGTGGCCAGGACCTGGGCAGTGTGAGTGCCACTGAAAATCAGCTCGTGTGCCATAGGTTGCCTACCCCTGTTCTAGCTAAAGCTTGGGGTATTGTTTAAGGACTCAACTGGGTGCTGCCTCCAGCCCATCTGAGCAGCAATGCCAGGCCACTCAGACTGTGGGGAAAATGAAAAGTGACTGATAAACTTCATAGGGTTTCGAGTTCAGATAAACTGCTGAACTGAAGCTTATCAGACTTATCCAGTCATTTGAGGCCCTCGTCTCCATAGATGTCTTTGTTCTTTGTTTTTCAACTAAAGGAGTTTGGAAGGCACTTTCCTGCCTACTAACATTGTATTCTGCAAAGTAAATATGCTGGTTAAGAACATAAACAACTCCTGAGACTTAATCATTTTTGTAAATCATGTCAGTGAGCCTTACATTGTTATTGCTGAATGCCTTAGAACGGGACTGACACTTAAATGCCACTGTGTCCTTTGCTATATCTAATTCTGAGCTCTTGTATCGTTTCTTAAGGTTGGCGTTTCCTGCATTCTGACTCTAAGTCTGAAGATCTTGAATGGAAAGTCCCTTTTGCCTGGGCAGTGGAGAAACTACGACAAGCTCAGATACAAATGTATCAAGCAGTGGTTTCTATGTCCCTTTATTCATATTGGGGATTAATATATATATAGCAATGGTATTAGAAATTGAAATGATGGGAGATGTTTCAAACAATCTGAACTGAGAGCATTATTTCTCTGAAAATTCTGAGAAATCAATTGAAACTTCACTATTCCTATAAAGGAGCAATCCACTTTTATTTTAATTTTCATCTTCTAACAACAACTACTACCTCAGCAGAGGCTTTTCTTAGGGATTAATGACAGGTCAGGATTCATCTTTTCAGATTATCACTAATCTCCAGCAGCAGTCATGACAGCTTGTTTAGATACATTTTACAATCTTGACCATAAATACCACTCTGGGTTTCCACAGCATGCCATAAGCTCAGGCCTGCTGTCCTTACTCAGGGCCTCAGAAGGACTGCAGGATCAGACCCAAAGGACTGGATATCCTGGTTCACTTAGGCGTCTTTGTTTTGCTTACACTTGACACTTTTGTGTTTTACACAGCACAAAGTGTCCTTAAACCCCTGGAGATTCCAGCAGAGTATTTTCACTGTGCAGAGGGAATCTTTGCCTTCTCCTACATCAGCCACCTCCCCATGGCCAGCATAAAAGGGAAGCTGGGAGGTTTCAGGGTGGGCTGGGGACAGGAGGTATCTGAGCTCTGCTATGCCCTTCTGCTCCAATTTACACCACGACTGGGTGGCCCTGAGTCAGTGAGCTGCAACTAGCTCCCTGAAGCTGCCACATTTGGACATGGTGGAGAATTAGGGTCTAAATGTTTTAAATAGTAGGTACTAGTTTGATAAGCCAGGCCAGATTTAATGAAGAGTTAAGATAATTACTAAATATAAATACTAACTGTTTATAAAAGCAGTTAATTAAGGTTTATGCGTGTAAATCTGTAACTACAGCACAGTTTCTAAATCTGTTATTATATATTTTAATATTCCACTGGCAATTCAATATATTGATGATTGTCATATATTATACATCTTTAGATGTAATAAGGCTTATATATCATAGATAAAAATGATTATTAAGACTATGTTTATGTGATTTTAGCAACTAGTGTATGTAATCATAATAAATGCTAGGGATTTTAAATTTAAGTGTTTTACAAACACTAATTAATCCTCATGTTGTCATTAAAAGGTTTCTTGTCACTGTTTTATGGATGGGGAAACTGAGGCAAAATTCAAATGACTGACCCAAGGCCCCTGAGCGAGTTGGTGTAAAAGCAAAGATTAGAATTTGCTTCTAGTGCTGCACTCAGGCCACTAGAGCAATAGCTGTAGACCAATCTCCAATAACTGTATTTTACATGTTTGCAAAAATGCAAAAAATGAGTTTTCATATTTGATGTTAATCTTATAAGTCTCCTATATATTGATAAGTTAAGTGATATGTGCAGCTATACTTGTTTATGGTGCAACTGGTGGAAGGTCTACCCTCTGAGTGCCCCCCCCAGCGAAGTGGGGCCAGTTGACCTGTCCATCTGGCTGCAAAGAGCAACTATGTATACTGCTTCTTCATCAAACAGGAAGGTCTCCCCCTAGAGCAGGGCAAAGCATTCCCTTCCATAGGAGCTGAACATGGTTCCTCTGCAGGGTTTGCAGACCCTGCTGGCCCATCAACTTGGAACTGAAATCCTGATCCATATGTTGCAATACATTGTGCTATCACCAGATTTCTGGGGCTATAGCACTTGATGTAATGTTATTGAATGTTTATACTTAGCCTGGTCAGCAAAAAGTAATACTGAGCCCTGTTTTGTTACAGGGTGAGTAGGGTGACCAGACAGCAAATGTGAAAAATCGGGACGGGAGTGGGGTGTAATAGGAGCTTATATAAGAAAAAGACCGAAAAATCAGGACTGTCCCTATAAAATCGGGACATCTGGTAACCCTAAGGGTGAGGGATAGCTCAGTGGTTTGAGCATTGATCTGCTTAACCCAGGATTGTGAGCTCAATCCTTGACAGAGCCATTTAGGGATCTGGGGCAAAAATCTGTCTGGGAATTGGTCCTGCTTTGAGCAGTGGGTTGGACTAGATAACCTCCTGAGGTCCCTTCCAACCCTGATATTCTATGATAACTTAAAATGTAAGAAAACTTGGCTCAGAGACAAGAATACTCCTTAGATGTCTACTAGCTAATGTTTCACTACCTCTTTTGTAGTGCCTTTCCTTCCTAACAACTTTATTTGCATAAAGCTTTTGAGATAACATGCTCTTTTTAAGATCTTCTCAAAGTGTAATATATACAAACACCACAAAGATTATTAAAATAATGTCACAAGTCTGATTTAAAATAATGTTGGCTGAAGGCTGGTAGGACTAAAATTTATATCAAACTAAACCAAAATGAGTAACCCCCCCGTAGGCTGTGATTATCGGCTCTGCTCTTGTGATCAATTAGAATATTGAAATGCACCTCTACCCCGATATAACGCGACCCGATATAACACAAATTCAGATATAACGCAGTAAAGCAGCGCTCTGAGGGGGCGGGGCTGCGCACTCCGGTGGATCAAAGCAAGTTTGATATAACGCAGTTTCACCTATAACGTGGTAAGATTTTTTGGCTCCCGAGGACAGCGTTATATCGAGGTAGAGGTGTATACAGAAATCTTGTCAAAAACAAAGAGTACCATTTTTATTGTTCTTGGTCACAAGATTAAAGTAAGCAAGTAGAGTGAAAGCTAGAATGAGAGGCACATGGAAACTCAACACTGGTTTAGTGGCTAACAGGCAAGAATGGGGGTCAGGAGATCTGGGAGCAGATCCTCAGCAGGGGTAAATTGTCATATCTCCCCTGAGGTCAATGGATTTATGACAATTTATTCCAGATGAGGATCTGCTCCCTGGCTTATTTCTAATTCCCTCTCTGCCACAGGCCTGTATGTGATCTTGTGTAAGTAATCTGAGCTCTCTCTGTCTTTTCCATATGTGAAATGGGTTTAATAATTAGCTTGTGAGACTTAATTCATTCAAGTGGGAAGCTCCTTGAGCTCCTCAGATGGTAGACTACTTAAAAATGCAAAGTATTACTTATATTAACTGTAAAGAAATCTAGCACCCTGTGTTGAAGGGGGAGCTGGGAATCTGGCATTTACTCTTGACCCAGCCTACAACTGGTGGAGTTGACAAATTCTTCTGCATCAGAAGGGGGACATAGGAGGGGACAAGAAAAAATAGGGCACATTTTTATGATACTGTAGGTGAAAATAAGCTTGTCAACTTTGCCATTGTGTCTTTAAGGACACAATAGCCAAGTCTTCTAAATCAGAAACTCTTCCTTCTGGAAACTATTCACATGATGTCATGCTCAGTGGTACACTGTAGGTACCACTACTTATAGTAGTACAAACACGTCAGTGAGATGCTGGCATTACCAAGACACAATGGGGAGATACTGACAACCCCTTAGCAGTGGAAGCAGGTGATGACTGAGTATATAAGGCTGAGATTGTCAAAGCTGACTAAAGGATTTGGATGTCTAATTAAGTTAGTATTTGGGAAATATTGAAGTAAATCCAATAGCTGTTACTCTGGACAAACATTTTTAAATTAGTAGAAGTTTGGCTGGGTAAGGCTGGTGGGATTTAGCCCACTGAGAAATTATCATTATTATAGGTCTATTTTTTTTCTCTCCCATCTAAACAGAAACGATCGGATATCTAAGCTGAAAGAAGCAGGATTTGACCAACCAGTCATTCTCCGGCATTATGGTGATACTGTGAGAGAAAATATTCCCAAGAAATTTAAGGGGCAGACCTGCAAGAACTTATTTGAGCTGCTGAATGGAAAACCCCAAATACCAGCAATCAAGCAGGCAGACCCAGCATTACGAAAACTGCATTATGGGCTGATTGATGGCTCATCTTTGATTTAATATCCTTTAAGTTCATACAGTACAAGTGAATTATAGCAATGGCCAGAGGGTTTGGGAAGGGGTTCAAGAAGCAAAACACAAGGATTCAGAAGTTGTTTAGTTGAAGCGTTAAATCATAGGTAAATTTAAAAGAGCAAGACATCATCATTTTGTTTATCTACTTCTTGGCCTCCACTGAAATGGTAACAGTGATGTGGGATAAGATGAGGGAAGAGAAACAGGTTGGAGCTCTAAAGTGGGTCTTCTCCTGCCCATCTCTCCCACCTCTTGATGCGCGTGAAGAAGACACCTTAAGGCTACTGCACGCATGAGGACTTGCATGGTGACGAGTCAAGGAATGGTCCCTTTTTACCCAGGGGGTTCCATGTCTTGCTAGTGCTGCTGGGGGAGCGGGGGGGGGGGAGGGAGGGAGGAAAAGAGGGCTGAGTGTTGGACAAATGCCATTAAGTTCTGAACCTGACTGCATGCTATTTGAGCTGCTAATCAATACAAGGGATGAGGGCAGAATAATCATTGGATCCAGGCTGTGCGGGGGAGAGGGGGGTGGAAGCATATGTGTGAGTGGACCCATGGGTGGAATCAATGGATAGTGTTCCAAATTTTGAGAAGTCAAAAAAGGGGGAAGGAAAATTTCTGAGTACGGCGCCTAATGGCATTAACCTTTTCTGTTGCTCTGGACTGAGGAGAAAACATTGTTCTTCACAGTTACCAGCCAATCCATCTAAACCATCAGGGAAATGTTTTAAAATCTTGCCCCTTGCTCTGTACTGTGTGCGCATGGGGCGTAAGTAAAACTATAACTCAAAGAAATGTATGGATGAGATCAGTTATACCCTGTAAGCAGATAAGGGGGGAAAGGTGTATAAAGTATGAGTATATAAAGGGGCTACAGCCAAGACTGGGATGAGAGTTTTGGATGAAAGGGGCTCAGATAATCGGGTTTTTATTGTAGTTGGGACTCTCTGCTTTTTCTGACTACTGCGGAGGTTGGTTGGTTTTAGATGATCACAGGGCAGGAGATCAGAAGCCTTGTCTTCACACGCTTTCCTATGTTCAATTAGCAACAACTGAAAGGAAATTTAATAGCAAAGGCTTTTCCCCTCTCCATCATTCTGGGCTGCCGTTGCCCTTGTCCCTGTTTTTAAAGCTGTACCAGCCACATGCTTTTCTAACCGGTCAGAGGTGTGCTGTGAGCAATAGAGCTCTTTTATACCACCAACTCAGAGACATGGAGAACATCCCCTCTGAGGGGCTGCTTTCCACATATACAAGGCGTATTATTGCTTCCCACTCCAGGCCTCCCACGTGGTGATTCGAGACAATAAACCATATGAATAGTAGTAGTGAATTGCTCATTGGAAATAAATTAATCCTCCAGGAGATACAATGGAATTCATTAAAATGTAATCCTCTGAACATGAAGAGATACAGCTTTACCAGTTATACTTTGGGGGCTAGATTGTGGTTTTAGGTACTGCTAAGGGGCAGTACAAAAGCCACCACCGCGGTCCCTGCAGAAGCCCCAAGAGGTATTTTGCCTCAGAAACACACCTCTGAGTCACGAGTCCTCCCTTGTTTCCTTATTGCTTGTAGGAGTGTAGTAGTTTAACACTGGCTTCTACCAACCGTAAATTACCACCCACCCTCCGCTGACTCAGCCAGCAGGGTGGAGTTTTGAGTCAAGGCTCCATCCATTCTCCACCACTGCCTGCTCCCTCACTCTGGGGAAGGGATGAACAGGCAAGCAGCCTCACTTACTCCTACTGAACCCAAAATCCAGACAACCCAAGATCTGTAAGGAGGGTGGGGTTTTTAGCCTCTCTTACTCCCGTGCATATAACCCAAATCACAACTGAGGCCAGAGTTCACATTATCAGCCAAAAGTAAAACTCCTTGACTGTACCTTCAGCTATCCTTCTGGGCATCCTGCAGTCTGCCAAAGCTATTCCGATCTCCCAGGTGGTGGTATGTACACCAATATATTCACTGCCTCTCCGGATCAGACTATACTTGGAACCTTTACACCTTTTGGACATGGCAGTATTTGCCTTCATAACAGGTAGGTAGATATAATTTCAGAGCACTTGCCAGCATACAGTATGTTAAGGTTGGTACTGCAGTAAGAGGTGCTATGGAAGATAGTGCTCAAAGTCATGAATGAATCCGAGTGAATGATGCAACTCGATTTCACAGCCACAGATATGGATTTGAATCATACCTGTCTTTATGCCACTGTTTTTTAACGATTACAATTATATTCCACCCCCCCCCAAAAGCTTAAAGCAGCTACAATTTTGGATAACAAGTTTCTCTGCCCCTAAACTCCTGATTTACTCACACTGATGGAATGACAGTGTATAGAAGTCAGAGATTTTGGGCTACCAAAAACTTCCATCAGCCAAATTTTGATGCTGAATGAAAGTCATTGAAAATTTGGCTCCTGACTTGTATTGTGATATAACAACCACCAGCCAAATCCCCTAAGGGCAGAAGGCACATGCACTTAACAGAAAATCCACACACACACCAATGGAGACATCGGGCAAAAGTTTTTCATCCCAATCCTGGCTCCTTCAAACACTTGAAGAAAGGCTGCTCTGCAAGCCCTCCATGACATGGGCTGCAGAAGGACATGCCACAGATCTGAGGGTATGTCTACACTACGAAATTAGGTCAATTTAATAGAAGTCGATTTTTTTAGAAATCTATTTGATACAGTTGATTGTGTGTGTCCCCAGTAAGCGCATTAAGTCGGCGGTGTGCATCCACAGTACCGAGGCTAGCGTCGACTTTCGGAGCATTGCACTGTGGTCACTATCGCACAGTTCCCGCAGTCTCCGCCGCCCATTGGAATTCCCTAGCACAGTTCTTAGGAAAGCAAACACACCCCTACCTACCTAACTTACGCTGTTTCATGAATATCAGAGAGAGAATTAGTCAAATACTATTTGTTAAATGCATTTTTTGATTAATGTTCATCTTAAGTATTTGTACTAGAATAAATATTTTTGTAGAGTTGTTGGGCCACATCTGTTTTGAGCAACAATGATAATTAAGAAACAATTTTTAGTAAAACTCAATTAAGTGAAACCCTTAATTGAAAATACTTCCCATATTGTTTGGCACGTTAATTTTAGTTCTATCTTACTTAATTTATTCTGCTATTTGTGACATCTTCTGAGAACACTAAATTGAAGCAGGTCAGCTGATGTGTTTGTGCCAGGGATAAAGGTAACTGGGTGTTTATTAATGCTAATGAACACTAAAGGGAAACTGTAGAAGTGTGCCCCCCGAAAAGCAACTCAGGAATCTTAACAACATGGATTGATTGGTTGGATTGATAAATGTGACTATCTTTTCCTTATTTTCTTCTTCTTCCTTCCAATTTGTGCTGGCATCTGAAGAATTTTAGTGCTCTTGTTAGTGTACTAGAAATCAGTATTAAAACTCACCAAGTATTAGTCCTCAGTTTCTCATACATTCTCATATTTCATTTGAATTATTAAAACCGCCATTTAATGTCTCTGTGGCTCACTACTTCATCTGTAAAGCAGGAATAATATATATCTGCCTTACAAGTGTGTAGCGTGTGAAAAGCACAACGAAGTGCTGCATGTGCAAAGTTATTATGTTAATTAAAAAGACTTAGATCAAAGGGAAGTTCTTGGACTGCTCACATTTTACTAACATAAACCATTAAAACTGGCTGTGTGTTTCTGGTTGTGTTTACAGTAACGTCATAGCAATGATGTTTAATCAGGAAGGAGGCATGGTGACTAATAAAGATGGAGAAATAGTCAGAGAATGGAGATGGCCTCAGGTGGGAAAGCTTAGTGATCCAGTTTTAATGCAGGTAATATTTATCAGCTTGATTTTTCTGTTTTTGTTCTCTCCTTTTGCAACAAAGAAATTTCCCAAAGGGCAAATTTAATTGCAAGGATAATAATACCTAGCACTTTCCGTCTTCTAAATGCTTTACAAAGAATAACTAAGGAACACTCCCAACAATCCAGGTGTAACAAGGTAACTATTGCTGTCTGTATTTTGCTCAGGTGGAATCTAAGACAGGGCAAGGATAAGTAACTTGCTCAAAGCTGCAGAGAATTGGTGTAAGGGCATGATTTCCTGAGGCCACCAGACCATCCATGCACCTAGGAGCAGTGTTTTAGAACATTCTCTCATTACTCTTTTAAAATACAAGTGAGTTCTCATTTAATTTATCTTTTGTGTGTTTCTAATAGCAAACAACTGCTGAACCTGACGTTAGGACTGATCCAATTCTCATTGACGTCAATGGAAAGACTCCCACTGACTCCAGTGGTTGTTGGATCAGGCCCAGAATGCTAAAAGATACTTGAAATTAAGGTAAAAATCAGGGATACATTTGGTAGAGAGGCCCTGAAAATTACACAGAACACCGAAGTGTAAGTTTGAGGACACTTTCAGGCAGTTGGTAGGAAAAGAAGAGGTGTCTTTTGAGGTATTTTTTTAACCCATTTGCGTATCAGTTTAAACTTTAAAATTCCGTATAGAGAAATGCTTTCAGTTCCATTTAATACTGCCTCCTAGAGGATGACTGGAAGGAGAGGAGAGGAAACTGGTGTGACACTTCACTTGTTCCCCTGCCTTCCTTTCACAGACAGCACCTGCTTTCTGCATCTTCTTTCCCTCCCTGGAAGTTTCATAGTGCATTCCTCACTTTCTCTGCACCCTCCCATCCCTAGCAGCTCCCATCACCTTCCCAAATCCCACTCATAATTTATTCTGTATTTAGGAAAGAAGAGAAAACAACCATCCCTTAAATCTATATTGCTAGCCTGAAGGATAAGTGTCCACTCCTAATATCGAGTGGCCTCGTAAAGGCACACTAATGCTGACACGGCAATGGAGAAAAAGTAGCTTACATGTGTTGATAGATTCTTAAATTAACTTGTCAAAAACCTAAGCATCATCGTAGACAGCTGAAAGAAAATATCTTCTCAACCCACAATTGTAGTCAAGAGAGCACATAAGATGTTGGGCTGTATTTAGAAAGGAATAGAGAATAATACTGAAAATATAATGTCATTATATACGCCAATGATACACCCTCTCATTGAATACTCTGTTCATTTTGGTCACCCTATTTCAAAATGGATATAGGAGGAATCAAGAAGTCCAGAGAAGGCCAGCAAAGACTACTAGAGACACAGAAAGACTTTTGTATAGCAAGAAATTAAAATGATTAAGACTATTCAATTAAGAAAGGAGACAAATAAGAGGTGACATGAGACCATTACATAGTTTAAAGATCAAGTGGGCACTCCTGTTTACCCTTTCATAATAAAATAACAAGGAGACACCCTAGTAAATAAAAAAACAATTTTTAAAAAATTAAAGGAAATATTTTTCTATGCAATGCAGAATTAACCTGCGAAACTCAGTGCCACAAGACGTTACTGAGGCAAAGAAATTATGACTTTAAAAATTGGACATTTCCTTGTATAAGAAGAATATCCACGTGCTTTCTACAAAACTCTCCTGGAACATTTTCATACAGCTCAATGGAGTTATGCTTTACTAAGGAGCAGTCACCCTAAACATTTGCTACCAAAGCCCTTAAGTGTGCCTTGAAGAAAAGAATTTGTAAATGCACCAACCACATACATGTCAGGTCAGATTTTATTGCTTGTTACTTGACACACAGCTATTGGCAATGTGATTAGTACTTTATACAAGGTATCCATTCAAGAGCACTGACAGAATGACAGATAGCCAACAAACACAAGCAGTTTCTGTTTCTCAGTTCACCTTACTTTAGGTGGCAGCCTAAATGAGGGAGCAGCTGGGAACAATCACACACAATGTGTGCGATAGGTCTGGTACAGCTAACAGGTTGCCCTTTAGATAGGTGATACAAAGGTGTGGTTTTGTAGCGGGTGGTTCCGAGTTCCCTCTTTGCTATTGCCATGATGTTCCAGTATAATGACAACAATGAAGTCCTAGGAGACCATGGATTTGTAACAATATACTGTACGACTGAAAAGTGCAAAACGAAGTCTAGACACCAGATAAAGTTCTGCTCATCCACACCTGCAACCAAGCCCAAATGCCAAGCATAGCATAGAATGCTTTTTGCTTATTTGTGCCTGAGTCTGTAGGCTTAAAGTTTCTCATATGTTCCCTGACTAAACAATGACTAGTGCTTACCTTCCTGCCTCTGCATGATCTAGATTAGTATGTCCTGGACAAGAATAATCTGTGCAAGGGGCCTGGGGCCGTTTCTGGCCAGAATTCATATGCATATTAACTAACTTTGCATCATTAACCTTTGTTTGGAGACAAAACCAGAATTTGGCTCAACATTTAAATGAAAAGGCTGATCACTAACCATCATTTGGGTTGGCTAATCCCAGTCGTTCCCCATTTTAACATTTGGAGAGGTCACACTATGCAGCATCTCCCACCTGGGCCATAAAAATGAAGATTGGGTATAGAACATGACTGCCCTTTTGTCTTACTCCAGGTTAATGACTACATCACTGTGAGGATTGCAGGGCGCTTTGCTATTAGCTTGGTCTACAAGTGGCAACATGAAAGTGTGCGGTTGTCTTTGTCACCACTACAAGGTGTGGCTCTTCCACAGTTAGAAGAACTGGTATGTTGCAACTGCTTGCAATCAAGGGCCATTAAAAATGTCAGTCCGTCTATAGCCTGTGAGACTAAAGAGTTTTCACTGTGTCAGTAGCCCTTAATATTATCTCTTTCCCCCTTTGCAGTCCTTGCTAATAGGTATAGATAAATATAGCTCTACTAGGAGCCTCTATTTATTAGCAGTCTACCCCTGACTTCACTAGAGATGCACACTGACTCAATTAGAAGAAAAAATCTGGAAAAAGTGAATTTGTAAGTGCAGCCACTCACCCTTAAATATCTATTTTGCAGTGGAGTTAAAAATCAGACTGTAGGCATCTTTCAAATTGTTTTAGAAATTAACCCTTTTTGATATATGTGAACAAAAAATTGGGGGGGGAGGTAGTTTTGATTCTTATCTAACAATGCAACTGACCTGACTGTTTCTTAGAAAACAATTTTTATTTTAGAAAAAATTCCATGTACGTTAGCACTTAATAGCTTTATTATTGGCAAACACAGCAAAAATACAACTATCAACAGCTTGCTCTTGGCAGGGACTGTCACTTACTGTTATTGATATACGTATTTGTATCACAGAACTGCCTAGAGGTCCCAATCAGAGGATCGGGGTCTCATTTTCCTAGGCATCCTACACACATATAACGAAAAGGTGCATTTGTACAGCACCTAACACAGTCTGACCTTAATTCTGATTGGGGCATGTCTACAATGCATTGTAAACCTGAATCTCTGGGACCTGGGCTTGCAGATGTGGTGGGTACATCTAACACTAGAAAAGAAAAAGAAAAATCCCACAGCAGTGAGTCTCATAGCCTAGGTCAACTCACTCTTGCTCATGGGTGAGTTGCTAAAAATAGCAATGTAGATGTTCCCACTTGGGCTGATCTCAGAGTCCAGACTCCAGCCCAAGTGGGAACATCTACATTGCTATTTTTAGCCCCATAGTACAAGCCCTGTAAGACCCAGTCAGTAGATCTGGGCTCTCAGACTCGCTGTCACAGGTATTTGGGGGTTTGTTGTTGTTTTTGCAGCATAGACACACCCAAAGTTTCTAAGTCCAAGCTTGAGTGTCTACACTGCATTGTAAACCTGGGCTTATCATTGCTGGACCTGGTCTCACAGCTATGCTAACACGTCCATACTGCACTATGCAGACCTTCTGACTTGGGTCTGTAACTTGAGCTGCAGCCACACTGCAAAACGACAGGGCTTCGACCTCAGTCAAACGAGACTCGGGCTCTAACCCAACTCCCTACCAGAGTCCTAGGACCTAGGTCCTGAGTGCTTGCTTACCCAAGTCAGACTGATTTGTGAGTGGACAGGAGGGAGGCCTGGGCTCAAACCTGAGTTCAGGCTTAGTGTGCAGTGTAGACATACCCTTGATGCTACTGGAATACAAATAATAAACACTTTGTGTTTATCCAGCCCTTAGTAATTGTGTAATCAAAAAGTTTTCTATTTTTTTCTCACTTTTTTCCAGGGCCAGATACTCACCAGAGTTAAACTTTCATCCACATCAGCTAAAGAATTCTCTAAAGTAAGCAGGAAAAAATTGAGCGAGAAAGAAACAAAGAAGGTTCTAAAGAAAGAAGTAAGCAGCAATCAAAACTCAAAATTAAGACAGCGAACAATCTTATTGGAATATTTTTGCATCTCTTTCTTTTCTAACAATTGCTTGTTTGCAGCTGTATTTAAGTCCTTCCCACACAACCATCTTGACACTGAAACTTTAAGATATTCCTCCCCAGTTTGTTTGTTTTTTAGGCCTACTGAGGGGAATGCCCTAAAACCGCAAGACCAGATCCTCAGTTGGTGTAAATTCACTTCAGTGGAACTCTGCTGATTTACACCAGGTAACGATCTGCCCCAGGGCCTATTATGGAAGTGTCCCTTACTATGTACTAGTTCGTGTACAAATATAATGGGCACAATTTCTGGTTGGTTTTTTGGATGCTGTATGACACAAATAATAGTCTATTAATGATTACCGGTAATCTATTATCTGATAACCCTCTTGGATAATAGGGTCCAGTTAAATACATGTCATCTATTTCATCCACAGCTACAACTACCATTATACCGTATTTCGATATTCACTCTTGCCAAGAGGGACTGGCTAAGCATTAGGTATGAAATACCTAGACTCTACAGGTTAGAATCCTTTGAGCGTTGACTCAGCCCTTCTGTGGTAGATAAATGAGGGGCAGTGAAACAAGAGGGCAGTGGGAGCTAATGCCCCTGATCTATGTTTCTGCCCCTGTGCGACATTCCCTGCAAGTGGCATCGAGGTAAAAGCAGGACTTGGAAGGCTGGAGTAGATGCTATAATGCCTGGGATTAGGTCAGGGAGCAGGTTAAAAAATGCTCCCACTGCCGAGGCTCAGTAGCTGCCCTCATTCCTCCTCCTATCCCTGAGACCCCGACTGCTGCCTGCTTCCCATCCAGAGGACCACTGTTCGGCACCCCCATTCAAAGCACACTTCTGCTGCCTCTGCAATAAACTGAGGTCCATGCAGTTTACTGAATGGGGCTCCTGCGTATGAAAGTTTAAAAAATGAAGTCCTGGTTCTTCTTTGTGGACATTCTTTGCTTTCTGCAAGAGGAGAGGGTTCCCCTAGTGTCCTGAGTAAAATTCTCCCACACCTTGTTTTTATGCAGAATGCGGTATGCTGGTTGACCACCTGGCTTGACCATCCAACCAAAACGCTGCATTCCCATGTTACTCTATATAAAAGTCTTAAATGCCCTACTGAACTCAGGATAGATAGTCTTTCTATCATAAAATGTGTTATCATGATCAGGGGGTTCACGAGTGAAGGGATTTATGGAGTCAACGTTGGAAAAGCAAAAAACAACAAAACAAAACACAAAATCCCCCAAACAGATTTTTGCTTAGTGTTGTCTTCCCTCCATTTATATTCCATTTTGTATAAAACATTTAACTTAGAAAGTTCAAAAATGTATTTTGAGAGTGATAAGAGCCAGGTAAATGTGTACATCAATATTTTAAAAAGAAAAACAAAAAGCTACCCCAAATCATTCAGGGGAGTTAAATTAACCTGACATTTATTCAACAACACTCTAGCCTAGAGGGTGGAGAGATAACACCTTGTTCCATCTAACTTACTTGAGGGCAATGCCCATTACAATAATATCTCTACACCTTAGGAATCCCGGTCAGATTGCCATCTGAAATGCCACCAAAACAAGACCCGCAGAGAGTTGACAAGAATATAAATGGAGCAAGGAGGGGAATGGAGAACTTTCAAAATAGAACTGGGGGAGGATGAAGCACTGGGAGGAGATACTTAGGTGACTTAGAAGCGTAAATCTTCTTTAGGAAAGTGATTTAGGAGCCTAAGTTGCAGTGAGACTTGGGCCCTAAGGCCCAGATCCTCAAAGGTATTTAAGTGCTTAACTCTCGTTTAAATCAATGGGAATACAGGTGAGGATCTGGGTCTCGGTGCTGAAGTCACGTCTGGAAATGGGACTTGGATGCTTTTGAAAATTTTATCCTTGAGCACAACTGTGTCATGCTAGTCAGTCAATTACAGTTTTGGCTTTTAGCCAGCTACTGGATTTACGGATGTAACTCTAAAAGATTACTTTTGGTTTTATTGAAAACAAGTTTTTCTGTATTTTGAATGTATGTTGCTAAGCAGTTTATGCAAATAATTTTTAGTTCATTTTTAGCCGATCAGTTAAGTACAGTAGGAGTTATATTAAACGGATGAAGCTCTCTTCATACTGTATTTCCAATTAGCTTACAAAGTGAGCCATTAGACACTCATAAAAATTATACTTTAAGCTTCCTGTCTCTAAACTGGTAGATGTTATATGGGTTTCTCGGCAATGCTTAACCACTGCACCCACATTCACTCACTCTGTCTTGTGCTTTAAATCTCTGTATGGCTTTTGGAAGCAACAATTCAGATTTAGAGATAAATACAATGCATCATTACCACCTTGCTCAGAAAGCTATTTTGCAATCTGTTCTTCGTTGAAGGGTCCATCGTATGGGTAACACCCTTTAACAAATTTACATTAATACTCATGTTCCCACTGATGGGAGAATACACTTTTCATTGTGATTGTGTCTGCATTAGACAACTTAAGCAGTACCATAAGAATAGCTGCAGTGTAAGTACTTACATTGTACTAGTTATGCTATTCCGAGTGTAGTTTTACCTGCATCCACACTAGCTCTGTACTAGACTACTGCAATTGCATTGTGCTCCAGGTATCTATCCTGTGATTCCCAGCACAGTTCACTGAAGCAGTGTCATTTGAGACATTCTGAAAGGTGGTCTGGGAGCCCATGGGAACTGTGGGAAGAAAGGTCACACATCCGTAAGTTCCCTTGAGGAACTGCCCATTAGACCCCAGGTAGTGTAATTTTAGAGTATTTTTTTAAAATGGAGGGCAGGATGTGCGTTTAATCCCTCACTCCTGGCTTAGCAATGTTTTATACTTCATTCTGTCTGGATCAGCTGCCTTATAAGATCTCACTCTGACACCGGGTTAATTAACAAACTCCAGCTTTATTATGGCTGCTTACAACATGGCTTCTTCAGCCTCGTGGCTTCTCAGACAGTTCCCTAGGAGGTGTCATTTTCAAGTAGTTCCCCTCAGAAAACAGTATGCGGTCTGCTGGCACTTTCATATTGTTACATCCCTTCTCTTTTAAAGAAAGCTCGTAAACACTCCAGCAATAAATGATAACATAATCTAACGTATTCCTTTGAGATGCTGACCATTCTTGCGGTTACTTTGTTCATCACTTTATCAGTCTGTCTAGCTACACAGTAGTACAACTTGGAAGTTCATCACACAAAATCCCCCTGATGAGCAGGTTTTATAACAGTCCATCCTCCTCTAGTACGGTATAGTTCACTGGTGCCTCCTTGGTGAAGTCTTCCTCCCATCTGGTCAACCACAGTCTCTAGGCTTGGTGTTGCTGGAGTCGTTCAAAACACCCTCTTCCTTCTGTTTTTCCTCTGGTATGCCCCTGACGTTGTCTGCTTCTAACAAGTCTGGCTCAGAATTTTTCTGCTGTAGAACCCAAAGACATTTGTTGTCCACACTATCTTTAGAGGTTTCTTTTATTTTTCTGAGGTGCCTATGGTTTTGCCTCACTATCTGTCCATTGTCCATTTGCACTTGATATGATCTTTGGTTTCCTGGTTGCACAACAGTAGCTTTGTGGCAGAACTTTATCCTGTTTTGTTAATGGTTGTTTATATACTTTGCTGCCTGGCTCCAGAGCTGTAAGATCTCCTGCAGATGTGTTGTAGTAAAATGCTTGTCTTTTTTGTTGGTTTCTCCATATCTGCCAAGTGAAACACCTGAGTACCCAAGGTCTAACAACCTTCTGCTTGTTGTCAAGAGTGTCTTAGGTCTCTGGCTCATCAACATTTGTGTGGGACTAAAATTTAGGCCTTGCAAGGGAGTATTTCTGTGATCTACTAGTGCTAAGTATGGGTCATCCTCTGCCATTTTTGCTTTTTTTCAACAGTTTTTACTACTGATTCCACTTTGCCATTGCTTTGATGATACCCCGGTGAAGATGTTATGTGACCAAAATCCCAGTCCTTATAGAACTTCCAGAACTCTCCTGAAACAAACTGAGGTCCTTTATCGGAACACACAATATCGGGTATCCTGTACTGTGCAAAGTGTGCGTTTATCTTCTGCATGATTGTTATGGATCCTGTAGTCTATAGTCTATCTCCCAGAAATTGGAAAAATACTCTACAATGATCATGTATCCTTTGTCTCCAAAGGTAAACAAATCCACTCCCACCTTTGCCCATGGTCTTTCTTGGAACTTCGTGTTGCCACAGGGTCTCTTTCGGTTGACTGTCTTCCTAGGATCTGCATACATCACACTTTTTCTATGAACACCCATAATTATTCATTCATTCCTGGTCAGTACATAGTCCTTCTGGCTCACCTTAAGCAACCTTCAATTCCCAGATGTGATGAATGAACTTTATGCATAATCTCATTCCTAATAGCTGCTAGAATAACTGCTCTTTCTCCCTTAAATATAATGTCATTCTATATACATAGCTTATCTCTTATCTGAAAGAATGGTGTTCTCTCTTTAGGTACTTGATCTTTTGTTACTGGCCATCCTTGTAGGATCATGAGTTTCAATGTCTGCAGCATTCTGTCTTGCTCTGTACCTCTCTCAACCTTTCTTCCAAGATAGTTAAGTACTGTACCATATTTATTGTCTCCACCTCGGCCTTTACGGATCTCTCTTGGCTGTGTTCTGGCAAGTCTGAATGGCTCAAGGTGTCTCCCAACACCAAGTCTCTGCCTGGGTAATACTTAATCTGTACATTGTAACTCTGCAGTTGCATCATCATCCACTGTAAGTATTTTGGTGCAGTGAGTAATGGCTTTCATGAGGGTTATGGCAGATTGTACATCCATGGGGCGACTGTATTGGTGACATTTTTCCATTCCAAAGAATATTGCTAACAACCTTTTTTTCATTTTGAGCCTTCTCTGTCACGGACAGTGCTCTGCTTAGAAATGCAACAGGTTATCCCTGTTGCAGCATGGTAGCCCCTAAACCCGACTC